TCCAAGTACCTGACTCCTCTGCAGCAGAAACTCAATGAACTCTATGAAGCTGTGAAGAACTACACAGACAAGCGTGGACGGCGTCTCAGCACAATCTTCCTCCGTCTTCCATCCCGCGCCGAGCTTCCAGACTACTATGTGGCCATCAAGAAACCCATAGACATGGAGAAGGTGAAGAGCCACATGCTGGCCAACAAGTACCAGGATGTTGATGCTCTGGTGGAAGACTTGGTGTTGATGTTCAACAACGCTTGCACCTACAACGAACCTGAATCGTTGATCTATAAAGATGCATTGGTGCTTCACAAAGTGCTTTTGGAGACCAGGAGAGACTTGGAGGGAGGCGACGACGCTCATGTCCCAGATGTTGCGCGGCTCATCCAGGAGCTTATTCGCAATCTTTTCGTCTCAGTTCTTGGTCACCAGGACGACGAGGGACGTTGCTATAGTGACTCACTGGCGGAGATTCCAGCTGTTGATCCTAACAATCCCGATAAGACTCCACTGAACTTTGAAATCATCAGAGCTAACGTGGATAAGGGGCGTTACAGGAGACTAGATGTGTTCCAGGACCATATGTTTGAAGTTTTGGAGAAAGCCAGGCGTCTGCACAGGTGATGCTTTTCATTCACTCATTTTGTCTAGGATTTACGTACCTGGAGAGGTCAAGTGTTGGTTTTTCACAATACTAAATGTTTTCAATTGTGTCGTAGAACTGATTCTGAGATCTTTGAGGACTCTGTGGAGCTCCAGCAGTTCTTCATCCGGATCCGAGATGAATTGTGTAAGAACGGAGAGATTCTGCTGTCGCCGGCCCTCAGCTACACCACTAAACACCTGCACAGCGACGTGGAGAAAGAGAAGAAAGAGAAGCTGCCTAAAGAATATGAAGAAGATAAACTCAAGAGAGAGGAGGAGAAGAAAGGTACTGTTCCAGTAGTATTTAATCCAGTTTTTAAATCGGTTTATTTATTAAAAACAAACAAACATGCTAAAACAACATACATAAAACTACAACTCATACAGAAATGGACTCTTGTGTGATAAACGTTTTTCATTTCTAATTTCAAAATCATTTTGAATGAGCAGTGCACAGTTACACAGTAGTTCAGTTAAAGATTTAGAGAGATATATATAATATATTATTAATACCCATTTACATAATATGCACATGCATTCATTTGCATGCGGTGCGACCAACAAAGTCATGTGGTGCAACCACTGTGCAGAAACAAGCAGAAACAAATACACCCTCAAAACTGTGTCAAGGTCAATAAGGGTTTTTGTTTTTTATGAGATAAAAAGACATATATATATATATAT